GACAAAGCGGTGCTGCAGGCAGGGGCCAGGGGAGCTTGAGAGCTCCCTGGACTGGCTGCTAGCTGCAGGCTGAGGCCCTGAGGGAAGGGTAGAAGAGGGGGCGGGAGCCTCATGGGAAGCAGCCCTGCAGCAATGGACTGCAGTTGCCACTGAGGGAGGGGCTGGCCGAAGATTACAGCCCCTGGCCGGGGGAACACAGCATGTGGTACGGCCAGTGGCCAGTGTCACGGGAGAGGACCCTGCAGCCCTGAGAGTGGGGCAGGTCGCCACCAGAGGAGGACGCACAGGCGAACAGCGTGTGGTACGGCCAGTGGGCAGTGTCACTCCCCCATCCAACCACCAGGTGCATGGGGGGGCTGCCAAGGCAGGCCCTTTTACTGCTGGCAGGGAAAGAATGCGACACTGTCTTAAATTCCCCTGCAGAAGGGGCTGACCCACCTTCCTACTGAACACTCACCTGCAGAGCCCTGCTGCAAGTCTCTGCTGCCTACCCTCAGTCCCTGCTTTTGTGCTGCCTGTCTCATCCCTGCACAACCCTGCTGCTTCCTTGCTCATCTGTGCTCCCTCTCCCCTACCCTCCAGATGGCTTGCTGTGCAGATGCAAGTAAAATCCCTATCACAGATTGTGGATCAGATGATGAGTTGAGCTTGGTGGATTCAGATCAGATGTGAATCCACATTTTTGTATCTGTGCAGGCTCTATCCATAGGGTAAAGAACAGTTTCAACTTCAGATGCACTTTTCTTGCCAACTGACTGAAAAACCTCTGCAGAAGCTTTGCAACTCATAAGAAGTGCTCTAAACAGAGATAGGTCTTGATCTGAAATACATGCATGATGCAGCTTGTTGGCATCATGACAGTTTTGTATTGTGAAATATGGTAACAGGTGCCAGCACCACAGTGACATTCTGAACCCTCCTGAAGTCTTGTGTATTTCCTTGGAACACTCCCTTACACTGTTTTGAAATCATATAGCATCTTTAAATTGGGTGGAAAGAGTCCCCAGACTATATCCCTTGCACTGGGGGCCATGACTGGATGATGTAGCACTGGCATGAGGATCCTAAAATGACCTGTTCCCAGGGACTGGATCAGGGACAAGGTTAGCATGCACTGCACTACTGGATTCTCAAAGTATCTGTGATTTTTGGAGCACAAGTCTCAATGACAGTTGCTGAAACTTGTTCTCCTATGTCACATAGTTAATTAATGCCTATTATGCCTGCTGTAGGGCGGCAATGAAGGTTCTCCACTTCTGTGTCTTTGGCCACTTTCTCCAGTGTGTCCAGTTGTAATTCATTCTCCATGTCTGCCTCAACAGTACGCTGCCATGTTGTCTTGAGCCTCCCACATTTCCATCGTCCAGCAAAGTGCTAGCTTTACAATGGCGTCTGCTTCCCTTCTCATCAGTGCCCTATGCAAATTCCAACCTTCAGCTATTCTTTCCTTCTCAGAGCCGTTATGTGGCCACGTGAAGCAGAGTGAAAACTAGAGTAGCTCTGAACCACCTTAATCATGACTCAACTGCAGGTAACTGACAATTAGGCCCACTCAGTCTCCATTCAAAGTGCTTTTAAGTGTGCACATTTGTTGCCATACTCGTGCAACTGCATTGGTATCAAGAATGGCTTGCTTCTGTTATAGCCTGCATCAGATCAGTCTTCACCATCACTATGCTAGTGCTGATAGAAAGCACTGGTGTGGTAACTGTGCACTGCATTTGGCATGTTTCCTGACACACTTTTATGTTTCTACAACTCTTCTTGCATGTATCCTGTGCAGGATCGGCAGTCCTTCTAATTTTATGCATAAGCATTTTTTGTTTACATGGTGCACTACAGCAGACTCAAGAATTTTTATTTTAAAAAGGAATATTTTAATGAAATCATATAAATCTTTTATATAGGCTGCAATTTAAAAAAAAATGGGTACAGCAACTGTGGAGCTCTACTTCCACAAACCCCATTTCAGGGATTTGTCTGGGAATAAAATGGTACTGAAAGCTAAAGGGAATTCCTGTGAGATCACTGTAAATAGGTTTATGTTAACCAGATAAGACAGATTGTGAACACATTGCACTAATACAAATTACAGGGTCTGATGGAGCAACTGCCCCCTCACTGGCAGAAAAGGGGCTAAAAGCATCCCTACAGTGGGATGCTTTTTTAAAAGCACTGGAGGCAGCCAATTACAAAGGGGTGAGAAGTAGCCAATCACGACCCAGCCAGCTCATGTAAAAAGAGCTGCAGAGCAGAATTTAGTAGCTGATTGGAGCCTGAGGGGAGAAGAACAACCTCCCAGACCTAGCAGTAGCACCTGGACAGAACAGTGCTGCCAGCAGCAACCACGGAAGCTAGCCAGAGCTCCTAGCTGGCTACTAAGACTAGCAGGCTGAAGCCCTGAAATAAAGGAAAGAAGGTCCTAGGGCCACAGGGAAGTGGCTCAGGGAAAAAGTACAGAGGTTAGAAGGGACACACAATGTGGCTACCAACTACAGAATCCCTGAGCTGGAATCTGGAGTAGCAGGGGAGCCCAGGCACTGCCCTTCCTCACCACTGAGGGAGTAGCCAGACAACTGGCTGTGGTGGCCGCTGAAGGAGGTGGCTAGATAGTGTGCTGCTGTTCCCCTGGAAAGTAGGAGAACTGAGTATGGTAAAGCTAGAGGACACTGTGGTCTTTGGGATGACACAAGAAGAGGTGACACTGGGTGAGACATCAGAGGGTGCAGAGCTAGTCTCCAAGACAGCCAGCAGGAGGTGCTGCAGTGGCCAGTGAGCCCTGGTACACCAGGTTTTGCAAACCTTTTCTCGGGTTTAAAACCAGTGAGCTGTCCCGTGGCACCTTAGAGACTAACAAATATATCGTCTCATGAGCTTTCGTGAGCAAACCCACTTCCTCAGAGGATGAGCGCATCGCTCCGTTGTTTTTAAAGTTACAGACTAACACAGCTGCCCTGCTGAGACTTTTCTCATGTTTGTCACACTCCTCCGGACTCTCTTCAAGTTGTGCAAGTCTTTCCTCCAGGGCTGTGCCCAGAGTAGGACACACAACTGCAGCTGAGGTCTCACCACTGCCAAGTCAAGTGGGGCATTGACCTTCCATGACACCCCGTTAATACGCCCCAGAATGGCATTAGCCTTTTCTACAGCCGTACGACATTGCTGACTTGTATTCAAGCTGTGACCCCTTCTAACCCCAGATCCGTGTCAGCAGCGCTGCCATGGAGCCAGTTTTTCCCCATCATTTGTGGTTGCACATTTGAGTTTTTACTTTGCACAAGCTGGAATTCAGACCAATTCTCCAACTTGTCACGGTCACTTTGATTTCTAGCAACCTCTCCAGCTTAGTGTCTTTTGCAAATTCCTTGACCACACTCTCCTCTCCATCATCTGAGTCATTCATGAAAATATTGAATAGTACAAGACCCAGGACTGACCCCCGCAGGGGCCCCCTGGATGCGCCCTCCCTGTATGTCCGTAAACAGTTGATCACTCCTCCTTGTCTGGTCTTTAAACCTGTTGTAATTTCATCTAGACCACATTTCCTTAGTTTTCTTGTAAGAATGTCATGTGGGACTGTGTCAAAAGCCTTATAAAAATCAGTATCACATCTAAGAACATAAGAATGGCCGGACTGGGTCAGACCAAAGGCCCATCCAGCCCTGTATCCTGTCTGCCCACAGTGGCCAATGCCAGGTGTCCCAGAGGGAGTGAATTGAACAGGTAATGATCAAGCGATCTCTCTCCTGCCATCCAACTCCACCCTCTGACAGACAGAGGCCAGGGACACCATTCCTTACCCATACTGGCTAATGGACTTAACCTCCATGAATTTATCTAGTTCTCTTTTAAACCCTGTTCTAGTCCTGCCTTCACAACCTCCTCAGGCAAGGAGTTCCACAGGTAGACTGTGTGCTGTGTGAAGAAGAACTTCCTTGTACTTGTTTTAAACCTGCTGCCCATTAGTTTCATTTGGTGGCCCCTAGTTCTTATATTATGGGAACAAGTAAATAACTTTTCCTTATTTACTTTCTCCACACCACTCATGCTTTTAGAGACCTCGATCATATCCCCCCTCAGTCTCCTCTTTTCCAAGCTGAAAAGTCCCAGTCGCTTTAATATCTCCTCCTATGGGACCCTTTCCAAACCCCTCATCATTTTAGTTGTCCTTCTCTTCGGCTTCTGCCATATCCACTAGCCCAGTAACCTTGTCAAAGAAGGATATTAAGTTGCTGTAGCATGATTTGTTCTTGAAAAAGCCATGGTGGCTAGTCCTTATTACTCTGCTATCCTCCAGGCGCTTTCATGTTGTTTAATAATTTGTTCCAGTACCTTTCCATACAAGTTAGGCTGACTGGTCTATAATTCCCTGGGTCCTCTTTGTAACCCTTTTCAAATAAAAGTCCAATGTTTGCCCTTCCCCAGTCTCCATCTGAGTTCTCTGTGTGGCCTGCAAGACGTCTTGTGTACTGATGCCCACATGCAGAGTTGCCAGCTTCTGTCTACATGGATTTTTTTTCCTGCTACCGTTACAAAAGTGACACACCTGTAAAGCCAGGGCACATGAAGTGAGGCACATGCTGCTTGCACACAACATTGGCTGCAAGAGCCACGTGCTCCCTTTGCAGCCAATCAGGGTGCTGCTCTGGTTCAGCCAGCGCACCCCACAAATTCTCAGTGTGCAAGCAAATAGCAAAGCTGCCTAGCAAAGACTGTCGGGCAGTCTTGCAGCTCGGCGAGACGGAGGGACGCGCATGCTGCCCACTCACCAGTCCCTCCGTCGCTGCTCTAGAGTGCTGGGGAATCCGTCTGTCTGTGTGGGAGCGGAGTACGTGGAAGGGGCGGGCGCGCTGCCGTGGGACACATTTAAACTGGTCGGGACAGCGCTCTAGATGAGCTACCCTGGGGCTAGTCTGGCTCAAATGGAACATTCCTGGCCCTGCAGCAAGGCCTGTGCCCCACACTGAGCACGTTCTGGCTGCTGCTCTTTCTCCTTCCAGGTGACATGGGAGACTATTTCCGCTTGCTGCTGCCTGACACTTACACCATCACTGCCTCGGCAGATGGGTATCAGCCACAGACGGCGACGGTGACAGTGGGCCCAGCTGGGCCTTCCCTGGTGAGTTGTGCTGAACAGTCGCCAAGGGCCAGCTCAGGCTGGGTGACAGGTGTGTCCTTCATTGGGGGGTACGCGATGCTGGGTCACACGGTGTAGTGATGGGGAGAGAGGTGTAGAGCAGACAGTGTCTCTGGCCAGCCAGCCTCGCCTGTGGGTCGCTGCTGCCAGCAGGGGGAAACAGGGAGCAAAGAAACCACAAGTGACCCAGGGTGCTGGGTGGGGGCTGTTCTACCCACGCCTGTTTTCTCGCTCTGGGCAGTTGACAGGACTGACTGGGCCTTCCCCTTCTTGTCAGGGTGAGTTATGTTTCCAGGGAGGCGTCCATTCCCTGGTGCATGCCCAGAGCCTTGGCGTGGGACAGGCAGAAGCAGTCCTGTCCCATGGGGCAGGCAAGGCCAGTGTTCTCTCTCATCTTTTCCATCCATGTGCAGAATGCATTTTTGTATGCACCAAGACATGTGCAGAAGTGCACCACCAATAGAAACAACAAACCCAGCTGTGGGTGCTCTGCTCAGCTGAGTGGCCTTGGAATCTCTCCTGAGCGGCTGCACAAGCTCTCAGCTTCCAGGGACACTGAGCGATACCTGGCCTGGGGTAGCTCATTTCCTGCACTGGGACCAAAGAGATTTTTGCCCCCAGCAGGGGCCTGGTGTCAGCTCACTTGTCTCTGGGCAGAACTCGGTGCGGGTGAGGCGGGGGCCAGTGGCTGTGAGCACTGTGGTGTGGAACAGGGCACCCACTGTTTGTGCACGGGAGAGGTGCCAGAGAGGGGCCCTAAGAAAGATGAAAGGACACAGAACCTGCCTTAGCGTGAGGGCCTGTGCGCTGCAGCACAGATCACCAGAGTCCCTTCTGGCCTGGGGACCTGTGACTGGAAGCAGAAATGCTCTGAAGTCACCAGTGGCTTTGGCACTAGGGGTACTGTGTGTGGGGCGGGGGCGAGGTGGGAGGAATTGTCACACTCTCCGCGGGAGCCTTGTCTCCTGCTGTAACGGGCTGTCATAGGAGCTGTTCTGCCATGCAGCAGCTTGTAAGTCGGTGAGATCACTACCGTTAATACTAGTGTATACTCTTCCTATCTCTGATTGGCCAGCTCTCTACTCAACCTACCCGCCTCCTGGGGGAGGGACTTAGAGCTTCACTGGTGTCATTGGGTTTTTTAACAGTTGGGCCTGTGCTTGCTTTTTGTTGTTGGTTTTTTGTGCTTTTGTGCACAGGCCTGGACATTATTTTAAAAATCCTGCTTATTTTGGGTGCTAGTAATGGCTTGGCTGCTCATGTCTGGTTTCCATGGAAGAGCTTTTGGGGTCTCACCAATGTATATTTTAAAATCTGTCACCTGGTTTGAAGGGATGAGGTGCTGAGTCTCTAGTAAAGGCTTCCTTGCTCCAAAATCTTCATTATTCTTGGAAATTAAACGTGTTCAAACCCTGCACACACACCCCAAATAAAGCCCCCGGAACTTTAAACAGCTCAGCTAAAATCCTGTCTTTTCTCAGCTGTTCATATTTCACTTTCTCAACTCCAGTGGTGTCATAAGAACAGTTGTTCTAGGTCAGGCCAAAGGCCCATCTAGCCCAGTATCTTGTCTGCTGACAGTGGCCCGTGCCAGAAGCCCCAGAGGGAGTGAACAGAACAGGGAATTGGCAAGTGATCCCTCCCCTCACCCATTCCCAGCCCCTGACAAACAGAGACTAGAGACACCATCCCTGCCCAGCCTGCCTAATAGCCACTTATGGACTGATCCTCCAGGAATGTATCTAGCTCTTCTCTGAACCCCTCTGAGTCTTGGCCTTCACAACATCCCCTGACAACAATTTCCACAGGTCACAATGTGTTTCTGTGGGAAAATACTTCCTTTTGTTTGTTTTAAACCTGTTTCCTTCTCTGAGAATGATTAAATAACACATCCTTATTTACTTTCTTCATACTCCCCATGATTTATAGACCTCTCGCATGTCCCCCTTAGTCATCTCTTTTCCAAACTGAAAAGTCCCGGTCTTATTAATCTCTCCTTATGTCAGCCATTCCAAAGCACAACCATTTTCCGTACCCTTTCTGAAACTCTTCCAAATCCAAGAGATCTTTTTTGAGATGAGGTGACCACATCTGTGCGCAGTATTCCAGATGTGGGCGTCCCATAGATTTATAGAGAGGCAATACCATATTCTCTGTCTTATTCTTTATCCTTTTCTTAATGACTCCTAACATTCTGTTCACTTTTCTGCTGCCGCTGCACATGGGTGGATGTTTTCAGAGACCTCTGCGCAGTGACTCCAGCGTGTTAACACCAATTTAGACCCCTCACTTGCTGGATAGATTGGATTTTGTTTTCCAATGTCCATTCTTGTTCATTTATCAATACTGAATTTCATCTGCCATTTTGTTGCCCTGTCACTCAGGTTTGTAAGATCTTTTTGAAGCTCTTCGCCGTGTTTGGATTTAACGCTCTTGAGCGGTTTAGTATCATCTGCAGATTTTGCCACCTCCCTGTTTACCCCTTTCTCCAGACTGTTTATGAATGTGTTGAATGAACAGCACTGGTCCTAGGACGGGCCTGTGGAGGGAAGCTCTATTTATCTCTCTGCACTCTGAGAACTGACCATGTATCCCACCCCTTGTAACCAGTTCCTGATCCGTGAAAGGCCCTTCCTCCTTATCCCATGGCAGCTCACTTGGCCGAAGCGCCTTTGAGGAACCTTGGCTAAGGCTTTCTGGCGATCTGAGTACACTCTGTCCACTGGACTCCCGGGCCACATGCTGGAGAATTCTAGTAGACTGGTGGCTTCCCTTTACAAAAAGCACGTTGGCTCGTCTATGTTCATCTCTGTGTCTGATCATTCGGGTGTTTGCCTGTTTGCCTGGTGCTGAAGTTAGATTTACCAGCCTGTAATTGCTGGGATCACTGCGAGAGCCCTTTTTAAAAACTGGCCCCACGCTATCCCTCCTCCAGTCACTTGGCATAGAAGCTGATTTAAATGATAGGTTGCAAACTACAAATCTGCAGTTTCACAATTGAGTTCAGGGCCAAAGTGGGGTGGGGCGCTGTCCTGGGCCCCTTGCCTTGGGGGCCCCATGGGGCCCAGAGCAGCCTGGGGAACTAGCAGGTAAGGACATTAAGAAGCGGGTAATTGGCTAATCGTGCAGTCAATACCAGTTGTATGGACTACACGATTGGTCAGTAAGGGGGAGGGGACACTCGCTGTGTCTGCAGTGTAAATGCAGTAGGATCCAGGGGCGCGAGCAGCCCGGCTCCTACTACATTTAAAGTGCAGTGCAGCAGTGGGGGGTAGCTCCGGCGGGTGCTGCAAGCTAGGACTGGACAGTCCCAGCTCATATTGGCTCCAGGACTGTGGCAGCTCTGCCTCTCCTACCTCCTTTCCCCCCGCCCCACACCATGGAGATGGTGCTGAGGGGACCCAGCTTTTAAGCAGACTACCCCCAGCACCAGCTCCTGCTCCTGCCCCTTACTGCCTCTGATACAGAGGCAGCGGCGGGGGGGGGGGGGGGGGGGGAAAGAACCCTACTAGCAGGGGCCTGGCCGTGGGTAGCAGCAGGGGTCTGGCTCACCCCTGCACTCACTGGCAGCAGCAGGAAGAGCAGAGCAAGGCAGCCCCAACTCACTCTACTCCTCCCTGCAGCATTCGAGTTAGTGTTAAGCTAGGTTGTGTCCCTCCCCAGCAATCACCACTCTTTGCGTTTCTCCAGAACTCTTGGGTAGCACCATCTGGTCCTGGTGACTTATCACTGTTAAGTGTATGAATTTGTTCCAAAACCTCCTCTAATGACACCTCACTCTGGGACAGATCTTCAGATTTGTCACCTAGGAACCTGTGTTCCAATCTGTGGAACTCCTCGCCAGAGGATGTGGTGAAGGCTAGGACTTTAATAGGGTTCAAAAAAGAGCTAGATGGATTCATGGAGATTAGGCCCATCAATGGCTGTTAGCCAGGATGGGTAGGGATGGAGTCCCTAGCCCCTGTTTGTCTGGAAATGAGTGACAGGGGAGGGATCGCATGAGGATTCCCTGCTGTGTTCCCACCCTCTGGGGCATCTGGTATTAGCCACTGTGGGCAGGATAGGCTACTGGGCTAGATGGGCCTTTGCTCTGACCCAGTCTGGCCGGTCTTATGTACTTATGTAAAGAACAGCTCAGGTGTGGGAATCTCCTTCACATCCTCAGCTGTAAAGACCAAAGAATTCATTTCGTTTCTCTGCAATGGCCTTATCCTTAGGGTTGCCGACTTTTTAGTAGGGGAACTTCCTGGGGATTTCATCACATGACACCTTTTTAGTTAGAAATTAATCTTTAATTCCTGGAAACTACAGGACAATCCTGGAGAATTGGCAACCCTTGTGCTCCTTCTGCAACCTGATTGTCCAGTGGCCCCACTTGCTTAGCAGGCTTCATGTTTCTGATGCACTTTTAAACCTGCTCTTTGTCCTTCAGATTCTGTTTAGAACTTCCGAATTCTACTTTTAGGCGCCACTTGCCAGAGCTTACGCGCCTTTCTGGTTTCCGCACTCGGCTTTAACTTCCACTTTTTGAAAGATGCCCTTTTGCCTCCCACTGCCTCGCTTACGTGTTGAACCGTGGTGGCTCTGTTTTGAATTGAGGGGGTACATTTAGGTGAGCATTTTAAAGAAGCTTGCAGGGATTTAATTCTGGCGTTGTTCCTTTTCATTTCTCTTTTACGAACTTCTTCATTTTTGTGCAGTTCTCCTTTTGAAATGAAATGCTACTGTTGTGGGCTGCTGCGTGGTGTTTTCCGCACCACAGGGTTGTTAAATGTAATTATATTATGGTCACTATTACCAAGCGGTGCAGCTATAATCACCTCTTGGACGGATCCTAATTATTTCACTAAATCACCTGTTGCCACGGACTCTACCATGCTAGCCAGCTACATTTCTAAGGTGACAAACAAGCAGGAAGGAAAGCCTTCCAGATATTGGCCTTCTTGGACGGACTAATTATTTCACTAAATCACCTGTTGCCACGGACTCTACCATGCTAGCCAGCTACATTTCTAAGGTGACAAACAAGCAGGAAGGAAAGCCTTCCAGATATTGGCCTTGTGTTTGTGTCTATCACAGAGAGGCAGAAAGAGACACCCATGAGTCATTGCCCCTTGGGTGGTCTCCTTTCAAAGACGCACGTGTGCTCCCTTAGCAGTGCAGCTGTTTGCCAGCACAGGTTTGTCCGTGGAAAATCAGGCTGTTGCTGGTTTGAGCACTTTGTTCCTGTCGTGTCACAACATTGCTAGAGGCCCCTTATCAGCTTTGCTTGTCTCAGCCTTGAGAGCTAGACCTTTGTCCTGGCAACCAGGAGTGACCTCGCCCCAGGCCTGAGGGAGCACAAAGAGATGTGCTTTTCTTCCTTTCCATGCCAGGTGGATTTCCAGCTCACACCAAACCCAGTGAAGGGGCCCCTGGAGAAAAAGGCCCCGGCCACCAGCCTGAGCAGCAAAGTCCTTCAGAAGAAGGTGGTGCCAAGAGCAGCTCATAAGAAGACACAGAGATGAAGAGGGGCCCAATGTGCCGAGAGCTGGAGGGGTCTCTGGATGGAGGGCACCAGCAGCAAGCGAGCGTCCTGACGTAGTGCGACGATCCCAAATTGCCTCGCGTATTAAAGTCACAAATCTTTCACTCCCGAGCCAATAGCGAACGCTTTCCGAACGAGCGCCCGCAGCCACGCCCTTGGGCCAGTCGCTCATTCTCCGCGGTACCTCGGTCGGCGTGTTCTCCAGGCACAGACCGGCCGTTACCTCCCACTGGCCTCCTAGCCTGCAGGCCAGTCCAGAGGTTCAAGGGTCGTTTTTAGATCCCGTTGGCATTGGGAGCAGGAGCAGTTCTTGTAGCGGGGGTGCTGCAATCATGCCTATGGGAGTTGTTAATACTGCTGCACCCTGGTTCCCCATCTATGGTCAGATGCTGGGTTTGTGATACTGTAAGGCCAAGAGGCAGACCCACGCTGGGAGCTTAGCTGAGCCTCTGCAGTTTGCGTGACAAGCCAGCTGAGCACAGCTAGGCTGCGGAGCCGACTCGGTCTCTCCGTCAGTGGTCTCAGTGCCACGGGAAGGGTCAGTGCAGTGCACCCAGCGGTGGGGTTAC